TCGTGTCCTGTTCTCACGCCACTTGTTAATGCAACCTTATTTCCAATAAATGCTAGCTTTAGAAAATTGTTTATGCTTCAGCCTGTGTCCGCGTATCTGCGAGAACAACAATTTGGCACACTTCAAGGTAAGTAGAACGTTGAACTATTCTATTACATACACTAAAAATTTACTTTTTAACAACTTCTGTATATTTTAAGAGATTGATTTACTTGTTAGTCCCAACCTGGTTTCAAGTGGCCCTCATCCAATTATCAATATAAAAATGAAATTTAAATATTTTTTTCCTGAATAGTACCACTACTAAACTTTGTTTCGTTGGGAGTCTTGAGTTTTTTCTCGAAGTTGTTTGATTTTAAAAGCCATAGAGCCAGAATTGTGGAGCCCTTTGTAAATCAAACAATTCCTGATAGATTAGAGCTACCTGAATTAAATCAGAAGGCACTGTAACATTCTTGAAGATGCAACTTAACAATAATAACGAAAACTCGCTAATCCGATGGAAAGCTGATTTCTTTTTTTTATAATTCTTCTACTCTTCTACTTCGAATGCAAACAATCGCCTCCCAATTTGCCCTCATAAACTGATTACATGGTGAATGCATATGATTGTATCTGCATTTAAGGAAAGAAGGCGTTAAACAAAATTTTGCAAGCGTAAGATGGGATACCGCTAATACCTTAAAAAGGATTTCCTTTTCCTCCCCCATTCAGATGGTTAAATTATTTTCAACATCATTCGAAACCATTGCCTCTCTAATGTAACGGCTTTTAGAGCGACTTAACCAAGCAAATGGCGAGTCCTAGCGTGGTTTTTATCAAAACTTCCCGGCTTTTCAATGTTGTGTGCACTATTCATAATAAATGCAAAAGTGAGAAAGACCTTCAAAAGACTCTCCATTTTGGTGATTTTAATCACAAAACTAATAATATTCTTATTCTTGCTTTGGAGAACACCGGCAGAGCTTCACTCACAGATTTTACCATTTATCTGGACCGAAAAATGCTCGTCATTACGAAATTTTATGTGGCCTTTCGTTAAATTTTTTAGTGCTCGATTTCCTGGAAAAATTAACTCACGCACCTTTAAATAAATGTCCGTGAGTCCAACCGCGGATGCTGATTAATAATCGTCTTAAATTATGAGGGTGACAGTATTTAGCGTTCAAATGCAATGATACTAAGGATGCATTCATTTCTAACCCAACTCGGATTTGCGTTACAGAGTGTTCTGGCGTTAAAAACCAGGTGCAAAGAATACTAACGGCTAATGTTACAAGATAATTTGGTTTCACCAGCTCAGTTGATGATGTAAATTGGTCACACTGAAGCTGACGTTTTGAACGTTTACCCCTCGTCAGAGCGAACTGAAGAATATTAGGTTGCTTGGAGTTAACTTCAAGAAGGGCATTAGTTTCAAATATATCATATAGCTGCGAGGATCCCTTAATTTCATCTCTCCACCGCAGTGCAAATATGTGAATTTTCATATATCTAAAATCTTCATTCACTTGGATGTTTATTTGGACCCAATTCATTGACCAGCTCCCAGTTGGCTTGTTAGCTCAATTGGTAGAGCGCTGCACCGGTATCGCAGAGGTCATGGGTTCAAATCCCGTACGGGCCTGAATTTTTTTCAGGTCCTATTTACAACTACTAGTTTCAGTAGTGTTCTTAGCTGCGAGGATCCCTTAATTTCATCTCTCCACCGCAGTGCAAATATGTGAATTTTCATATATCTAAAATCTTCATATCATTTGTTATTATTATTCATTTAAATAATGAAATTGTGAGTATCAGAATAATATAATAAACAAGGACCCTTAATGATGAGAGGACGGGACACAATTATTTAGTTTACTTACGGTTAGGGCACGAACACCCAACGGCCCTTAGGCTGTGTCTTTTGGGTTGTCGAGGGAGATACGAAAGACAACCTTACAAGAAAAAGAAGGAAAGGATGCAAGGTGAAAGAAGTTTAAAATAGAAATCTTAAGACTTATGTCTGAATTTTTTGGAATGAAAGAATGTCTCATATGCTTAATATCCATGTGACGTACAACGAAACGAAGAAACTCACATCCTGTCAAAAAGGAATACGTTTTCTGGAATTTCGTGATCGATTCCAGAAAAGACTTATCTGTTACAGGCGAGAGGATCACATTCAAGGAATACGATGAAGTGACCAATGACTATGTAGATATCCAGAAATAAGATATGCTTAAAGATGGCATAAAACTTATTTCCACCCCCCCCCCCTCAAAAAAAAAAAAAAGAAAAATCTTTCGCAAACATCGATGAATTGTCACGTTCAGTTGAAAATTGTGAAATTTACTATTTAAAAGAAGAAAGACCGCTGAATTGTACATTGAGATCTTAATTGTGCAAGCTAATTTCTTTCATTGTTTTTTGCTTTATTATCATTTTTTGGGGTCCAGTTTAATAAAAAAAGGAACTTATGAAATTGTGAACAGTTTGCCCATAATTTTTCAAATTACCTGTGTGCAACTGATTTTCTTCAGATGTTAGCTTTATATTTAAGGAAGGCTTCTGAAATTTTCGTGCCAGCTAAAAGGAGATGACTCAGTAAAGAAAAATGATAATACCAGAAAGATCATACTTAAGTGGTTATTGATCATAAAATATGAAGAGGTTTAAGTATCTGAATCCTTTGCCTATTCCTTTTCAATTGCTAAATAAAATGTTGAAATCCCAGAACTCGATCAGAACATTCGCCTGGTTTTGCAAATAGTTTATGATGCTTAAACTGATGACAGGAATGACTTAAAAGTTTTTCATTGACCACTGCAGGTTAAAAAATTTCAAATTTTACATTCAAACTCTGTCTGATTCACTCATTGCCAAATTTTCTCATGGCATATGCACTTAGAAAAGTGAATCTCGATAATGGCTTTTTTTACATGTATTCAAAGCAACATTCATGAAAATTTTAATCCCAAAAAATTCGTTATTTGGGTAGTTCAGTCCTTTTTCTGAAACACTTTCAGCACAGGTTTATTTTTGTTGTTGTTTAATCTTTTGTTTTGATCATGTCACTCATTTGAAGTAGAGCGTTCACAGCGATGAAGGATGTTTCCGTCATCAAGCGTTTGACTCACAAAAAAGAACATTGCATTTGGATTGAAATTCATCATGATTTCGAAAGAGAAGGAATACGTTTTTCCTTTAAGAAATAATTTGACATGTTCTGGGTTGAGCCTGTAGAGGTGAGGGCGAAGTTATATTTCAGGAGGCGAACTATAAAAGGTTTAGACGGTGAACTTGCAAAAAAGTCAGTTGCCCAAGGATTTTCAGGACACTTATGATAAAAAGCTAAAAGAGAAGAAAACCACTACTTGCTACTCCACATATATAACTGCTATACATAACTAGCTCATACTTTTCGATGGAGATCAAGTGAAGACTTCACAAGATCATCATGCTACAATTATATATTCATGTGCCCTTTGCAGAGGTCTCTGTTTTTTTTGTTTTTTTGTTTTTGTTTTTTGTTTGTTTATTTAGTTTCATTTTTTCGTTTTCATTATTTAGATGTCGTGGCATCAAGAGAAAGGCGCTGGGAAAGCAGAAGGAATGACTTCAGTAAGTTTGCCTCACAAATAATTACTGTACCATCCTAGGCCTGACGGCGAGCTAGATATTCCTTCATAAGCCAAACTTTTCTCAACGAAAAAGGAATTGTCATCATCCCCTTCAAACTCGTTTTGAACTCCACTTTCAAGCGCCAGAGAGGATATACAAGTCCCAATTTAATATTTCTCGTGTGTCTAACCCTGGGATGGCGAGTAGATGTGAGCGTTAATTTGGTTTTAAATAATGGCAATAAATCGCAGAATCGAATGTCTCTAGGTAGTGAGTTCCATCACTATAACAAAAAGCTCGAGAATACAATGCCAGTGGAAGTTTTCTTGCATCTAGGATTCAGAACTAATTGTAAGGCATGTGACAATATTTCTCTCGTGCTTTTCAAAGGTTTTTTCAGCGCCTTTGACATTCATATGAAGCTTATATATGGATGATAAAATAAGAGTGAAAATTATGTCAGTAAAGAATGTCTCTCAATTTAACAGTTAAACATGCATAGTTTTTCACGTATTTTCTTGCGTAACACATTCATGTGAGTACAGAGGGCTTTCTGTTTGTATTCACCTCATAAGATAAAAGTATAGTGAGGCAGAATTTACCAGGGGCTTTAAAACAATCATTGAGAAGCAAATTAGTGTGCAAAGATTGAATGAAACAGTGTTTTGCTCCTAAGAGTTAATTTGCGTTTATGTTAAAATCAGGATTCCTCCCTCTACTCTCGCATTCTCCCTCGTACTCTCCAGACTCACAAGATCTAGTTTCGGCCTAAGTTCAAATACATTGATTTCCTTCTTTTCAACAATTTTTCCGTTTTTTTTGTTTGTTTGTTTGTTTGGTCGGTTTTGTCTTGTTTTGTTTCCCTTTTTCTTCGGAGGGGAGTCAGTGGAGTGCTGACGGTTGAGCGTTTATTTTTTGGTTGTTTTATTTGGTCTCTTTCTATGTTTTAATCTTTTGTTTTAACTCTGGCACTCGTTTGAAGTAGAGAGTTTCACAGCAATGTAGGGTGTTTCCGTGATCAAGCGTTTGACTCAGAAAAAAGAACATTGCATTTGGATTGAAATTCATCATGATTTCGATCGAGAAGGAATACGTTTTTTCCTCAAGAAATGAGTTGAAATCTTTTGGTTGCGCCTGTAGAGATGGGGGCGAACTTAATTTATTTTAGAAGGCTAACTATAAAAGGTTTAGACGGGAAACTTGCAAATGAGTCAGTTGCCCTAAGAGTTTCAGGACACTTACGATAAAAAGCTAAACGAGAAGAAGACTACTACTTGCTACTCCACATACATAACTACTATACATAACTAGCTCATACTTTTCGATGGAGATCAAGTTAAGACTTCGCGAGATCGTCATGCTACAATGAGATGTTCATGTGACCTTTGCAGAGCGAAAAGGTAATTTATAAAGACGCCACTTATCAACTGTGGAGCAGGTTTAGCAAGGAAGGAGATGGTATTATGAAGAGGAATCCCAACGATGGCAAAGTGAGTTGCAACGGAAGAGATCAAAATAGTGATCATCAAAATAGTAAGTAGACTTTTATGCTATCCTGCATCATGTACCTTTAACATGCACGAAAACATTTGTTGTAAAATGATTGTTTAAAACCGTACAAAGAATCTGGCTAAGTTTCACCCTAATAAGTGCCATAAGAGTGCAATCAGGTATGCTTTTGACTGTCGCGATGAAACGTCGGGCCCCTCTAATTAGATCGCGCATAATTGTTTGCACAGTACATATGTCGTTTGAACTCAATAAAATATCGCAATGGGTTAGCAACGTGTCGTTCTCGCTCCACGATGTATATCTGCAGCAAATTGATACATTTTACTCTTTGCACTCTATGGGTGCCTCGTTTCATTTTTTTTTTCTCTTAATCGTTTGTAGTTCCAATCCTGTAAGTTTATTAATTTTTCTGTTTTCGTTTAACAATTTTTTGTGTCTTCGTTGAAGCTTGAAGGTTAAAATTTGGGGTTATGCGCATTCGGTGAACTTCCATCAAGGTTAAAAAGTCAGACCCAGATTTTCACATATAGGCTTCGACTTTAAAATTTTTCGTTTTCTTCCATTGTGATCATAGCTTATATGACTACTAAGGATAAAACACAGAAGCCAGTAGACCAACCATGCTTTGCCTTCCTATTCGAAGATAAATTCGCAATGAAAGGAAATGGAGAAGGACAACCAATCACAACCGTAGTAAGGAACCACTTTAAGTCTAGCGTTTATTAATTAATTTGTTCATAAAACAAAACAAACAGACGATTAACGTCAACAAAACATGAAAAACTGATAGCGTACTTCTTTATTGCCTCTCTAATTGACGTATCGAGACGTACGTTGTAGCAAACAACTGGTTTTAGCAATTACAGTAACTAGACAGCTTGGTTGTCTCTGCAGAACTGAAACTTTCCACTAGATAACGCGTCTTTTAATTCTACTTTTTACTAGACAAGCGTTGCGATAATTACTGCGATTTAATAAATTGATAGTGTTTTACTGTGGTCTGTACTCTTATCGACAACGATATTCGTCATGACAGAGGTCAAAATGTCGTGGACTCACGGGTGCAACCAACTGAGTTTGTAACATATTGATCTCTGAGGAATAAAACCTCAGACCTTCGGATTCCGCGCTCCCATACTCTACCAATAGGTGGTTTAGCAAGAGGACGGGAAGGTCATTCCAGAACGGCGCGCGCAGCAAAAACTGCCGATAAGAAACTGGGTCGAGAACGCCGTCGCATTGTGTTGAAAATTTTTAAAGTGACTTAGCATTCGTTGTAACGAGAATCTTCACCATCACCTTTGATTTTTCGCTTTTATAGACCACTCCAAAGACAAAGAAATTATCTTTTTTGAGAGTTATGTAACAAGTGCAAACAGAGGATAGTTATAGATACGGCAAGTAAGTTGTTAATATGAATCCACATGGGCAATTAAACTTTAAAATTATTCCATTCCAGTTAAGTTTCGAGTCTGCTGATTCATCTATCAAATTTTGAAGCCCACTATATAACTTTTTTCCATGATTTGGGTCGCTGTCATTTCGTTTCGTGCTACTAGATTTCAGCACTACTCGTTTTCCTTCATGATTTTGTAAGGGATAATTTGAAAATCGTCGTCGTTTTTCCCGTTTTTACTGAATATTCCTATCAATTATGACAATACATCTCTTTGAGCACCACCTTCTTAGAGTTGGAATTGCATTTTGAACGGAATTATCAGGGGTTATGGCAAAACCATGTAGAAACCAAGCGACCCAACGATGGAGTTGTTTACGATGAGAGTGAAATTAACTTAAACTAGTCACCAACGAAACAGTTAGATTTAGGAATAAGTCTTTGTTCCTGTTTTATAATTTTTTGGTTTTTGTTTAATTTAATTTTTTAACTAATAAAGTCGTTCAAGACTGAATCAAATTAATAGATTTAAAAAGCCGTGCCGAAATGAAGTTGATTGTCATTTTGTTTCGTAGCTAGAGCATGACTTTCTTGTCTTAGTTTTCACCGGCGCTGATCAAAAATTTCAAACATAAAAAAGAGCAAACCCGATCTATTCTCAATTTTTTTCATCTCTGACTTCAATTCGCAGAAAGGTTTTCAATCACGGTAAAAACGACAATAACAACAAATAACACTGAATAATACAGTAGGTAAGCGTCGTGATATTTCATTTATATAAACTTCAACATGAAGCAAGTTTAATTGATAGATGAATTGATTCGTGATAAATTAACAGCACCCCCTTCTTAGAGTTTTCATACAGGATTAAAGAACTGTATCATATAAAGCCCTTTCGTCGTTTAAGCCTTGCTCAATCATAAGTGTACTGAGCCCTAAAATCTTGGATCCGGCGCTTGCCAACGATCGTGTTTCCTTTCGGGAATCCAGCATAAATGTTGCGGTAAATTTACCCAAATACACCGAATAAAACAAAGGAAAGGACCAAGTTATCCTGGAAACGAGTTCTGACATAATTCCAAACAACATTGTCTCGTTTATGGGTGCAAAATTTACGAAGATCCCAAGCGTTTTGATCGCGACGGGAAAACCAGCGTAATGACGTCTTGAACTTGTTGGAGAGAACGGCAACGTCAACACCGGAAGTCGGAGAAGAGTCGTGTCCAGACTATCCGCGCGCTTTCCCGTTCTGAAATGACGTTCCCGTCCTCTTGCTAAATCACTCTAATGAGCCACAGAGACTGTACGGTGAGCGAAGTCTATTACGAAGGATCAGCAGCGTCATGTTCTAAATAGAGAAAGATGTTTTTCGTCTTGTCATGAGCGTGGGACAAAGAAAAAAATTCTGAGTCCGCATGAGGAATCAAACCTCAGACCTTCGGATTCCGCGCTACAACACTGTCGATTTGTTTTTTGACCTCAATATCGACGTCAAAAACGTAAATTACAACCATTCTTTTAATGTGTGACCATTGCGTGATACATTAACGCTATCGCGAGCAAGCGTTGTCTGTAGGGTAATCGACAGCGGCAGATTGGCCGATCAGATCGCGAAATTGCTGCCAATTTTGGTTGAAATATAGTTTCAACGGAATGCGCGCGTGCAACATGAAACGTAACCATCGCACGCGTTAAATTTAACAATTAATTATGATGAGCCGAATGTTCAGCGAAACCATTTCTAATTCAAGGCTATTTTCAATTTGCAAGGAAATAGATGCGATTGATGACAATGACACGAGCGTGGTTTTTGAGCCCCAATACCACGGGGGCTCCACGATGCTCAAGCTTTATGACACCGATCTCTACGTGGGATGCGACCGCAATGGCCTTACAACTCTGATGAAAAGTTTTGATCATACCAATCCGAGTCCTAAGATTCTTTTCCACGCTGAACGAGTGGCGCGTTAATTTCAAAAGACAACTAGTGAGTCATTGCTCTTTCTTCCTCGTGAATTACGCATTTATGTAGCTATTTCCAAGAAAGACATAGAGGCATACCTTGCGTAACAGATAGACAAATCTCACATTCAATTTGATCAAGAGCCACGGGTTGAACAGCTCATGTTTTCTTACTTTTATTACTTTTAGTTTTTAGGTCATTATCTTCATGATAAATTTAGAATCTCATCAATTAGACACGTAAATATCCGAAAAGGAGTTCTAGTTCTAAAAGCTTATTGAATATCATCCTCAATCTGTTATTATGGAACTACATAACGCACTCTTATCACATTTACGTCACATCGTATATAGCGTAATTGGAATTGTTACATCTGACCAGCGTATAAGACAGTCAGGATCATGTGAAGAAGATGAAGAAGACATTTATTTATTTAGGGTAGCCCTTTCGGATGCCTTAAACACCGCTATCAATTGGGGCCCTGATAAAAATTCAAATGATAAGAACTACACAATCATGCTCTTATACAACTGCCCACTGCTATACAGAACTTAGAATGAATAAAAAAGCTTTTAGCTTGAACATAACGTTTTTCGAGTCATTTGTTTGCTTTGTCATGCCTATATACTTTCATTTATCGTATTCTAATTAAAAAAGATTGATATTAAAAATAGAAATAAAAGACACCTAGGCATGAGTGTACTATATTAATGGAAAACACTGGTTTCGGCAGTTTTTGCAGTTATGAGGGTAAGAAACCTCTAAATGTCTCAAAAACTTGGGACATTTCCTATGTCATGATAAGATACATGTTCATTTGCAACACTTTCCCAAACATACGTGACCACATTACACGAACCCTTTCATAAAATCTGAAACCAAAATATATAGATTTGGTCGAGCGTGAAAGCTTTGCTTCAGTTGGTTAATGCTAATACCCTCAGAACCCCTGGCCATCTGTTGAGAGATTTGATTACTGCAGTTTAAGGGCCGGGACATTTGGCATATGTAATATTCTAAGGAAGACATGTTTGAAAATAACTGCTTTAAAAGCAAAGAAAGGAAGAAAAGCTTTTCTATGTTCACCTAAGACTTAAAGGGTAGGAGGAAGGTACTTTACATCAATGAATGACCATAATCCATTCAAAAATGGATTATGGTTTGATTTTTACCCTTTCCAGAAACTTCTTGAGACAAAATGTTGCAAATACATACATTTAAAACGATCAAAAATGCTGCACCTTCAAATGAAATATACCAAATACCATAATAAAAAAAATTCTCAGCCAATAACCAAAATTGTTTGCCGTTTACTCACAATTTGTTGTACCACAAGATGAAGGTTTCAGTGTGGCTTTGCCGTCTAAGGTAAGTGAAAGTCCCCCCCCCCCCCCCCCCCCTTCCATATCAATTAATGACGTGACTTTGCTAGCGGCTTTAAAGTGAAATTTCGCTATTTTAGAAGTTAAAACTGACTTAACCATGTAAAAAGAGGAAAAGAGACTTAAGAGAAAAACCTTGTATTAATATCAATGTCTGCGCAAATGTGTACCCACCCATCCCCCAAACCAACAGCAGTCAACTGATAAAAAATTAGGCTAAATGTTGGGTTAGGGGAGGGGTAGGTGTACAGTAGCTGATCAGAAACTGAGACAGATCCAAAACCTCTAAACACGTGACTCTTAAACTAATGACAGAAATACTAATCAGTTTTAGAAATAAGCTTTAAATCGCCTGAAGATATGCACGAAAAGAAAAACCATTTTTTTTCTATATCATTATGTTCAGAATACTCCAAATATAAGCTCTAACACAAATTTAATTACCGTCATTACTAACCCTCATCATCACACAAGCACAAACGAGCCTATCTTGTACATCCTTTCCCTTCCCCCAAGTCTTCGATTAGTGTGGTACTAAGCTACTTTACTTAAGTCAGAAAGCTTTGTAGCATTCTTGATGATGTTGTGAGTATGATCATAACAAATGAATTCATATAGCCAATGGAAGCCATTTACGTTTATCATGGCTCATTTCCGTTGCTATTCAACTGCGAAGGAAAAACACTGCATTTGGCCGCACATAGTGATTAATGGTTTGTGAATACATAGGATTACATCTGGGTTGAAGGAAGGAAAGTGTCAATCCTCAACGAGTGATGCACACAATATTTTCAGCATGATGACTACCAAAACTCCAGACAGAATGAATCATTCAGCAATAGAAAGAGCATTAAAATTTTAGAGAGCGTGTACAAAACCTCTTAACGCATCGTTAAGCAGACATGTCGGGGCATGTTTCATTATCCAAGGCCTGAAGTTTTGGAAGATATAACCTACATCAACTATCGCAGGTCGAAAACGACTAATAAGGAATAGTATAAATCATGATGATCCTCCTCCCAACTCTTCTTTGGCGGTTGTTTCAGTTGAGGTCTCAAAATGTTTCAAAACTGTAAAAAAGAGTCATCGCTCCGATGATCCAGCTCAAGAGAAGTTAATTCTACAAAACATACTTCCTTATTGGAACCACTTGACCCCTCTTTGGAAGTCTAGCTAATATTTAACAACCAGGAGCATCGTTTGTCGTATCGTGGTTCTTATCACAAATTTATTAAGACTCTTCAGTGCTGTGTGGACGGCAATACATAACAAAATGTATTGCAAACCGAGGAACAAACTTTCGAGTCATCAAAAAACAAATATGGACAAAATGAATACTTTGGTGATGGAAATAGGATCAAAAGCGCCAGGGGGCAGAAACAAAGTCAAGAGCACATTTAAATGATAGAAACATTTGCCATTTTCGGCAGCATGACTTTCAAAAATAATTCACATACAATTTTTTTCCTCTCACTACGTAGACAACCACAAGGTATTAAGCTTTAACGCATAAAGAGCATTTTAAGGAAGCATTTCACCAAGCTACCATATCTGATGTGTTTCCTCCTTGTTTAATTAAACTCTGTTGTCCAGACTTAACCAACTATGATAAGCTATTGCAATGATCTAGTAGAATATTTTCAAGTCTCAAACTGAATTCGGCATCATTCGAATTCCAACACCGCTTCTGTTGGACGGCTCAGAAGAAACGTTGCAAAAGAAAGAAGAAGTTGAATTGTCTTAATGTGATTATTGATACAATTTCCCAATTTCCAATGTAGTATAAACTTGCTTACACTTATAATCAAAAAAAAAAAAAAGACTGAAGAGCAAAACCTTTAAAGTCGTGACTTTGGCAACTACTGACAGAGGTTCTGATCATTAACAGGAATAAGACTAAAAACGCAGACGCTAGGGGGCATTCACAAACCCACGACAACATTCTTGATTATAGCAATTTTTGTTCAAGTTACTAAAAAAAGGTCCTTTTCCTTCCCCCAGGCGACCTGGTTCTCACACCAATTGTTTATGCAACAGCAGATCCAATGAGTGCCATCTTAGGACAAAAGAAAAGGGAGAGGCAAGCCATCTGACTGATAAACTTTACTTCACCTCAGTCTGTGTCGTATCTGCGAGAGCAACAAGTAAGTAAACTTCAAGGTAGGTACAGCGTTAAATCATCGTGGGAGAAGTGAAGCTATACCGGGTCGCTTCAGTGTCCGTCGATGACTAATTTCAAATGACGAATATCAGAGTTTTAGGATGACCAAATTTGGACATTAACTTTGTAACAACTTCCTTTGCTATTCTTTTATAATGTTTCAGGGGACTGGCCTACTAGTTAGTTCCCACTTAGTTTCAAATGGTCTGATCCAATAATCAATTTGAATATGAAATTTAAATCTTTATTCTTCCGCCGTTTGCAAATATAACGATTCTTGATAGATTAGAGCTACTTGACTCAAGTCAGAAAGTTTTATAGTATTCTTAAAGATACACCATAGCAATAACAACGAAAACTCGCATATCTGATGGAAAGATATTTTCCTTTTAGGGCTTATCTTCATTTCTTGTTCGACAATTTTCGCATTTGTCCACATACACTGATTACATGGTTTGTGAATACATATGATTATAAGTGGGCTGAAATAATAGGGTATTTTACAAACTTTTATAAGCCTCAGATGGGATACCGCTCATACCTTAAAGTGGGTTTAATTTTCTTTCTCATTCTGAATTCTTTCATTATTTTCAACATCATTCAGTTCGAAGCCATTCCCACCCTCATGTGACGGTTTTTAAAACGACACGCTAAGATAACCTAACAAATGGCGCGTCCTAGCGACGTTTTTAATATTACTTTCCGACTTTTCAATGTTGTGCGCACCGTTCATGATAAACGCAAAAGAAAGACGAAATCTAATAAAGGAAAATGATTGCACACATTATAATTATTACAGACCGAATGTTTCATTGAGCGATTGAAATAGCATCAAAAAGCGCCAGAGTACGTGCATAAACTCTCAGAACGCATCGTTAAGCGAACATGTCGGGGCAGGTTTCGTTGTCTTAATCTGCATCAACTTTTGGAGGTCGAAAACGATTAAAAACAGTATTAATTGTGATGATGCTCCTTTCGCCTCTTCTTTGGCTTTTTATTTTAGTTGAAACCAAAAAGCTATTTAAAGCTCGGAACGAAATTTATTGTTCCGACACTCCGATCGAAAAAAAGGGTAATATTTTAAAACTATTATTTGACTGTTGAGCAAGTCGATTTTCCTATTGTGGTTCTTATCACAAATCTATTAATTAGATATGCTAATCAGTGACAAACGTAGTATTACCGGGAGGCATTCACATTCCGACGAAACAATACGAATACGACTGCCTTATCTACTCCTCATCTTTAGACAAACATGATGGCTGTGATATGTTTAGAAATAGAGATACAAGTGACTAAAAAAAGCCTATCCTAGTAATTACCCCTTTTCCATCCCCCATCTATCCTTTTCTCAAGCCACTTGTTTATGCAACTTTATATCCAATAAATGCTAGCTTAGGACAAATGAAAAGGTGGGGCTTGTAACCTGAAGGATAAAATTTACAGTCGAGACTTTATAAATAACTACTGAAAGATATACTAATCAGGGACAGAAATAGGATCAGAAATACTCACACCAAGATGCATTCACATTCCGACAAAAGACTTCAAATATAATTGCCTCAAGAAGTTCGAATCTTTAGAAAGGTATGTCGGCTGTGTTATCTTTTAAAGAGATACCAGTTACTTACCAAAAGAAGGCCTATCCTAGTTACCCTTTCCCATCCCTCACGTGTCGTGTTCTCACGCCACTTGTTCATGCAACCTTATATCTAATAAATGCTAGCTTAGGATAAAAGAAAAGGGGGAGGTTTGTCATCTGATGGATATATTTTTTATGCTTCAGACTGTGTCCGCGCATCTGCGAGAACAACAATTTGGTAAACTTCACGGTAAGTACAACGTTGAACTATTCTACTACATACACTGAAATTTATGTTTTAACAACTTCCTTCGTTATTCGTTCTTAATATTTTAAGGGATTGATTTACTTGTTAGTCCCAGCCCGGATTCAAATGGCCCTGCTCCAATAATCAATATGAAAATAAAATTTAGATATCTTTTTTCTGAATAGTACCGTCACAAAACTTTGTTTCGTTGGGAGTCCTGTGTTTTTACTAGTAGTTGTCTGATTTTAAAAGCCATAGAGCCAAAATTGCAAAGCCCTTTGTAAATCAAACGATTCCTAATAGATTAGAGCTACTTGAATAAATCAGAAGGCATTGTAGCATTCTTGAAGATGCAATTTAACTCTAAAGCCAATTTCTTTTTGCTTGGTCGACTGCAAACGACCGCCTCCCCATTTGCCCCCATAGGAGTGTCAAAACGTTGGGTCTATGAATTGTAACTTCTTCGGTTACACTCATTAAATATTTAAACCAGAGTAGCATCAAGTCTGATTACATGGTAAATACATATGATTACATCTGGTTGAAAGAAAGAAGGCGTCAAACAAACTTTTGCAAGTCTAAGATGGGATACCGCTAATTCCTTTGGGAGGATTTAATTTTATTCCCCGGCATTCTGATGATTAAATAATTTTCAACATCATTCGAAACCATTGCCTCTCTAATGTGATGGCTTTTAAAGCGAAATAACTCGGCAGATGGCGAGTTCTCACCGTGGTTTTTATTAAAACTTCCCGACCTTTCTATGTTGTGTGTACAATTCATGATAAATCTTGACCTCGTGTAGAAACCTATTATTTGACAGCAAAGCAAATTGCTTTTCCTTTCGTGATTGTTATCACAACTTTATCAAGATTCTTCAATGCTAAATGGACTGTGTAATATCTGAAAAAAATTGTAAACGGAAGAGAAAAACGTTCATAGCCGTGACTTCATAACTATTGACAGATATGCTGATCAGTGACAGAAATAGAACGAAAAACTAACGCACACACTATGTGGCATTCACATTCCTTCAAAAGACCCTCTAATGCTGTGAAAACTATGTAACACATTCGAAAAAATAGTGCAAAGTGAAGAGCAAAACTTAGTCAAAGTTATAAGAACGTAATTACGGTCAAAATAAATCTTTAGGTTATGGAAATAGGATCAAAAGCACCAGAGGTCATAAATAAAGCCAAGAGCACATAATAATTGTAGAAACATTTTCCATTTTGGACAGCATTATTTTCCTAAAATTAAAGTAAGCGAACAACAACAAGTTATTAAGCTTCAAAGAATACATTGCATTTTAAGGAAACATTTTACTAAGCAACGATACATGACATGTTTCCTCCTTGATTGGTTAAATTTTCAGAATATCTCAAACTTAAACATACAATTAATTGCAAGAATTCAGTAGAATATTTTTAAGTCTCGAACTGAATTTGTGTCTTGCTGCATCATTCGCATTCTAACACTGCTCCTGCTTGACTACTAAAAGAAACGTTGCAAAAAAAAAAGAAAGTTGCAGTGTGTTAATGTGGTTATTTATACAATTTCCAAATTTCCAATGCAGTAAAAAATGACTTACACACGTCAAAAAAAGCGAAGAAACAAACTGAAGACCAAAGCCTCTACAGTCTTGACTTTGATAACTACTGACAGATATATTAATCAGTGACAGAAATAGAATTAAAAACACAGACGCCAGGGGGCATTCACAAACCCAAGACCACATTCTTGACTAAAAGAAGATTTTTTCTTTTCATAATTTATTCCAAGACTTCAAATACTATTGCCTTAATTACAGCAGAACCCCGCTAAAGTGAACCCGGTTAACACGACCGCCCGCTAACTCGAAAAAGATCCGATTTCCCTTGGACTTGACCCCATTTTTCCAGTCTTTTGCTATCAGTTGACTTGTTGACTCGTGCATGGTTAACTCGAGTTCCCTATTATCTCGAACTCCCCTTTGACTGGAATTAACTTCCCTTTCTCTTAGAACTTTGAGTAAAAGCGATAACTGTGAAAGTGTCAGAACATAGCTGACTGACACTCGCCATACTTAATGGTATATAACTTATTGGCAGGATCGAATGTCTTCAGAGAACGAGTTAAATGGTTTAGCGTCACTTTAGGGGAAGCTTGATACCACATGCCCTTGTAAAAGTTTTTACGAATCTAGGATTCAGAAGGGGGGAGGCTGTGGGATGAGTGTTTATTGTGTGTTTTATTTTGTTACTTTGTTTAATTTTATTTTCTCGTTTTTATTATTTAGATGGCGAAGTTATTTCAAGGGAAAGGCAGTAGGAAAAGAAAGATTTCAGTAAGTTTGTCTCACAAATAGTAACTTTATCATCCTGAGGGCTCGCTAAATACTGCTTCATAAGCCACGTGTTCCCCAACAAAAAAAGGAATCGTCATTATTCCCGTAAAACTCATGTTGAATTCACCTTTCAAACGCCACAAAAGACATACAGGTCTCAATTTATTTTTTTTCGTGTGTTTCATTATTGAGTGTTTGTTCAATTCCATTAATTAAAGACAAAATAAAAATCCGTATAGGTTGATTCTTAAAAAACAGCAACCAAGTGCTTCTTTACCGCAGGAGCCTGGAACACATCATCTCATCCTTTTCATTTCGTGGTTCTCTGAAAGGAGAGAAGCACCTGGAGAGTCTTCCAACTCCTCGTCCCTCCCCCTCTCCTTAAGTATAAGAAGATCTGAGGTTGAATTCCTTATGGAACCCATCTCTCCCTCAATTTGATTTTGCTCTGCTGTTTTGATGAAATCACTTTAAATTTTTAGACTCAAGAAGTAATTGAACCAGTTAGCATCCATGTGACATACATTGATACAAAGAGAATCCTTCCCTATCAAAAAGGGGGAGATCTAAGGGGATTCACCAAGCAGTTCTTGCAAGGATTCTCCGACGTTTTACCTCCCAATGTTACTTCAGAACAAGTCAAGTTCCAGCGATATAATGCAAGATTTGACGATGCCGCCGAACTTGAAAATGGATACGAGTTTGATGATAACCAAAAAGTTAGCGCACACATCGTGGGTGACAAGAAGGTACAGACGTTTTGCATTGTTTCTGATTTTGTAGCACATAGTGTTATTGTATATAAATTAATTAGAAAACGTATTAATCCGTGGAACTTCGATCAGAATCTCGAGAGCTCCAATACTGGTAATTTTGAGATTTAGCGCGTTAGGGCTTTAACATAGGTTCAGAAGGTTACGCCTTATAGCGAGTTCGCTCTCTACAAAGACAAGTTTCACAGCGATACCATGACAAAGCTCGATGGACAAACAAAATCTTAGCCGTGTTGAGCAATGACCAATGTGCACATCTTATGTTTTAATCATGGAACTTGTTTGAAGTAGAGTGTTTAACGACGATTTAGGAAATGAATTGAATATTTTGAGGTGAACCTGTTGAGGTGGGGGTGAACTTTTTCTTTTTTTTTTTTTTTTTTTTTTTTTTTTTTTAAGGAGTCGAACTCGCAAAGGTTTAAGCGTTGAACTTGCAGTTGCCCTTGGACTTTTAGTTTAGTGAGTCCCGTATCGTTTATTTTGTCTTGTTCAGTTTAGGTCTGGTTTTTTTTTTAGTTTAATTTTGTTTGTTTGTCTGTTTGTTTGTTTGTTTTTAGTTTTGATTAGTTTCGTTTAATTTTGTTTATTTACTTTGTTTTTTTCTTTTGTTTCCTTTCGTTTCCTTTCTTTTCTTTTCCTCTTGTTTTTTTTTCGTTTCTTTTCCTTCTGTTCGTTTTGTTTCTGTTTGCTTCGTTTCGTTTGTTTTTCCCTTTCTTGAGGAAAAAAAATCTTAATTCTTGCCTCTTCCCATCAACGCAGCCATGCAATAAGTATAGGTAAGAAAATGATTTCGAGTGAATTTGGTGTCAAGTGCAATTTGTAGTCTTTCTAAAATTTCAAGTGCTTATCACACCAAATTTCGAGAGAAGTCATTTTATTACTTGTTGATAATGTACATAAAAAAAACATTACAGGAAGTCAAGACAGACGAAATTTGAAAGCGTACACTCGCTATTTGTAATTCACATTCGTATCATCGCTTCGTATTCATGAGAATGCACTCGTTTTCAGCCAATCAGAAGTGTGTAGTATTTTTCATGTACATTATTAAGGAGGAAATCAGCATATCCTGCATCACTATACTAAGCTGATTATATCTACTACCTTTTCAGGCTAAAGAGAAGGAGAACCGAACACCACTTAATATGTCAATTTCGGGAGGCCAACATACATTTAATCTGTATATAACTGACTTGGCTAAGTCGGATAACGGTTTTGTAGGGAACTCGACTTTAAAGTTCCATCAACTTACGGTAGGTTCTACTTATCGCTTTTGGAGCGCAGTCAGCAACAAAAATGGTGGTGTTATGAAGAGGAGTCCCAGTGAAAACATAGTGATTTGTGGTGGAACTTTTGAGGAGCCTGATGATAGTAAGTAAACAGTTATGTTATTTATACAAAAAATGCAGTGATATAAACAATAGCCTCAATGGCCGTGAAAATAAGCTTTAGCAACTACGGCGTCGCGAAATTGTTTGACCCGATGAGGAGAGCATGATGGAAGGGAAGGTTGCCTTCCATCTCTCATTGAAGCTCTTTCTAATAACGATAAAAATTTACCTCTGCAAGGATTTTAAGTCATTGTAGCAAATGAAGTTAATACGTTTTATGTAATTTCCTGTTAGCTGATGATCACTTTGGCGGAAGCTCGCACCCGTCGTTGTAGTAAACTAGATTTACATCAGGGCGCTGGATTTTAATACTCACTTCTCGTAGAGCTATTGATATCCTCTTCGATATTAAGATAAACTTGAAATAATTTGAGTCAACTTGACTTAAGCCACTTTGATACATATGAATTTTTGCCTTTTCTGTGCTTAAATGTCTTCTGATTGATTCTACAACTTAAGAAAATATCAAATGAAGTCCATTAACATGCAACTCAAACTTATCAAACACAATACATCGTGAACAACCTGCGACCGCTACCTCTAACGAGGATATTGAGCTCTGAACCATGAGATAGAACCGGTTGTTGCATTAGTTTTTATGAGGAGTATTCCAAGACGGTCTTTTTTCTTTCGATATCTCCTCATTGCTGAAGTCAATAATGATAACTGGTTCTCCTTAAATCCTTATCATAGCTCACATACAGGTCATTGATGTGAATAATAAGTCACCGAATAAAAGCAATGCTGTGGCCCTTCTATTCACGGACACAAAGCTAAACAAGCAGTATGCAATGAAAGGAATTGGATGCGGACAAGAAATCCAAACCGAAGTAAGGAGTTATCTCATTCATACAATTCAACGTTCATTCATCTATTTTAGCTTTCACCAATTCATTTATTCATTCATAATTAATTTCGCTCACTCCCTCACCCGCTCATTCACTCGTTCATGAATTTATTCAGTCAGTCATTCAATCTGTCCGTCATTAATTGCATAATCAAAATTATTTCTCATTCAAAGATGCTTTCCGTTTTGCAAGGAAATTTCTTCGCATGATGAGGAAAGCGATATCTTTGAGCCTGACTATTTCTGGAGCTACACCATGCTCAAACACGTCAAAACCGGCTGCTATGTGGGATGTGACTACACTGGAAAAGTGACTTTGGTGGAAAATTCAAAGCCCGAATTTCCTAACGCTGAGATTCTGTTCATCGCCAATGCACCTTAAACTGATTTACACAGCAGAAGACTCAGTGGTGGGTGTTCTGAGTGAAGTCAGCTCACTATTTGACCATTTTGATCCGCATGTGAGGCACTGAAATATTAGATGAGACTACCGTCTACATTCGTTAATCTGTTTTTAATCAAGTAAATAAAGTACTCTTATCACAAATAGTATTCAAGGTATTGTTATTTCTGGCTTGTTTCTAAGACAAATTGTGTCGAATCAATCCATTGGTCGCTTCAGCTGTCAACACTTGGTTATTTCTTTGTTAAAACAACCACAGATGGCCCAAGCTCACGTCTCGAGAAAAAGCAAACGATTAATTCATGAAAGCGTCACGCGTTGTGTGACTCGGTGTTAACTTACGAGAGGAACCGTTTAGAATTTGAGCAAGTGAGACGTGAGCTTGGGCTGCCTGTGAAACAATCTGTGGTCAGATTCTCTAATCAGAAATAGAGTGTGGCCCCGTCTTTGTGTTGATACCCAACCCGTCTCCGAATCTGGGAGAACCGTGACGGACTGACGTCCAGTCTAAGTATGACGCTAATTTAAAATTTGTCTTAGTGCAGTAAACCTGCAAATACCAATTTATTTCTCATCATAAAACACCCCTAAAAGCCTCTGAGGTTGAATAATTATAAGTTAGAAACAAACTTTACAAGGCATTCATTAATCATTCGGCAAAATGACAGCTGCTTTTTTTTTAATATGGGAAACGTCGATGTCATCCAGAACAAAAGATGTATCTTTGTATTTTGTGTATGGTGCAGGTATGCAGATTGTTTTGCTAGCATTTTTTTTTTCATATCTTAAGGTGTTTTGTTAAAAAAAACAAAAAACCTAAGTGAACAAACTCCGTGTTGGGCCGACTGCCAGGAAAACACTATCCCAAGCAGTTTTGCAATTAGAGGAATTAATAAACTTAAAAAACTTCTGAAGCTAATGGTGCTTTTAGTTTATCCCCTTAAAGACTTGATACCTAATTCTACTGCCATCCTATCATACAAATTTATAATGAAACAATTCTCTTTCCGGGTATGCCATCATGTGAAACACCAATTCAAACATTCGTGACTTCAACAGATGTAAAGCACATAATCCTAAAATGCCAGCCAAAAATTGTTCTGCAAAAAGAAAAAGAAATTGATTGTGACTTGCATAAAAAATATTCAAAATAATCGAAGAAAGCAAAACAAGAAGGCCTTTCCAGGCCACTTTGTTGATGTTCTTGCAGTGACGTTAACCCATTCTGACTGCAGCTTTCCTCTCTATTAATCAGGCTTTCGAGCGGAAACTGCTAAAAGATTTTGTCAACGCTCGTTTGAAGATATAAAACAAGCTAAATTTCAGGTTTTGTGAGAGGAAGGATGAGTAGTTAGTGCTGCTGTAGAATTTCATAGTTAGCTCCTTTTGAGGAACCATGTCATTGTAAAGCAAGTCAGGTATCGGTATCGTTAAGTTAGTCGTGTTGTAATTACGATTACAGAAACGTTCAATACTGTGGCTGCAACCTCATTCCCAGGGTCTCTCTTCTTCCCTTCATTTAGATCCAGAGAGACCCTGGAAACGAGGTTTCTGTGGTTGAAAGTTGTGCCTAAATCCTACCGGCTAGAGGTACGCACGAGGAGCACTAGTCACGGGTTTCCGAGGCGGGTGATTATCGGAAATTGTCGGCTATTGCAATATGGTGGACTATTCTAGTAACACCATGTGCAATTTACTAACAGTCAAGCGATATGATTCAACCAGATATGAACATTAGAACGTGCTTTGCATGTGGAGTATACATTGTTGAGTGTCAATCAAGGAAATTTCGCCAAATTTTGTGTGGCTATTTCCTTCGCCCTCGTCGATCCTAAGTTCCTTGTTTGGCAGAGTCTTAGCTTAAAGCTGTAGCCGCTAAGAACAACACTTGCAAAGGTAAACAAAACTTATGAATAGTATCGCCACTATATGCCCCTTTCATGGTGCTACTGGTTGGAAAGATCCCCAAGATGAAATTTCTAGTGTCTTCTACCTCTAGACGGTGGGATCTCAGGAAGCTTAGAAAATACTACCGGCCAGAGGTACAACTTGCATATCTAGTCAACTTTGCACAATTATTACGATGGTTTCCTTCGCATTTTACTATTTCCGCACTCCACTGAAATTAGTCTTAAACTCGTTTGAATCAATTTTTTCCAGGAATACGTATACATTTATTTATTTTTATTTGGTCTTTAACCTCAAGCTGGTAGGATCTTAGAGGGCTGATAAAATACTACAGGCTAGAGGTACAGCTTGCATTCTCAGTGGACTTTGCCTACCCTAGCCTGTAGTGAAAATACTACAGGCTAGAGGTACTTTGTACGTTTAGGGTGAATTTAGCTCGTTTCATTTACTTCTTGATTTATGGAAAAAACCTTTCTAAATTCCATGTTAGTCTCATACTGTTGTGGAGTCACTCGACAACTTAACTTGGAACGCCCACATTAACGAGTTAGTAAAGAAAACCAGCAAAAAACTATACTTTCTTGTACAGCTGAAACGGGCCCGACTACCTCCTTCAGACCTAGTTCTTTTCTATCTTTCGTGTGTTCGATCTACGATAGACTACGGAGTTCCGGTTTTATGCAACGCGCTTCCGCAGTACCTTAAGAACGAGCTCATACATATCGAGAAAAGGGCACTATCGATAATTTTGCCCAGCACGAGCTACAACAAAGCCTGCGAAGTTTTGGGAATAACGCCAATAACCGAACACCATAGTCAGCTATGCACTAAACTGTTTGACGCCATAGTAGCCGACCCCAACCATAAGCTACATGGATTACTGCCACAGAAAAATAACGTTGTTTTTAATTTTCGATAAAATCGTCCCTTTGTTTTGCCGCGCGTTCACACCAATAGGGCAAATAACACTTTCATACTCGCAATGTCCCGGCTATTCAACGCATCTTCTTATAATACATAGATTATTTCTTAAATTTTAGTTCAAGAATGAAAAAGTTTTACAAATTTAAACATTTTTACCATTATATTTAACATAGATTTATCATAGATTATTATTGTCCTTTTAAAAGTTGTAAAAGTTACTTAATTCAGCCTTCGGGCTGCGATGTGATTTAAATAAACCATCTATCTTATCTATCTATCTTGTTTTAACACCAACCAGACACCCTTTGCTTATTGTCAAATAATGCCTGCTTTAGTTTCAGCTGATTCCCTATAAAGAGTCATTTGATGCTCACAGCTTGTGTGCTGTGCTATCAAATAAGTAGTGGTAGGTGGTATGTACGCGACCAAGGAGAGAAGGTATTCTTGAAAAAAATGATTCAAGTGTAACTTAAGTCAATTAAATAAGCAAGCTGTACTTCAAGTATTTTCTAGGCCTCCTAAGATCCTACCAGCTGGAGGTTTTTAGACTAAGTAAAAGAGAACAAAATGTAAATGAAGTCATGTAAAAAGTGATTCCAAGGAGTGTAAGACTAATGTGGGGCGCAGAAAGTAAAATGGGCAAACTGCAGTAAAAATTGGGCAAAGTTGATTAAATATGCAAGCTGTACCTCTAGCTGGTAGTCTTTTCTAAGCCTCCTTAGATCCGACCACCTAGAGGTTCAAGAGCAAATTTTCAAAAATTAATGTAAATGTACTCTTGTAAAAAATGATTCCAAGGAGTGTAAGACTAATTTGGAGTGCAAAAAAGTCAAATGTGGAGCTAATCGTAATAGAAATTGAGCAAATTCAACTGGGTATGCAAGCTGTACCTCTAGCCGGTAGTATTTTAAAAGCGCTAGCCCCTTCAGATCTTACCAGCTAAAGGTACAGGACCATATAAAAATAAATAAGTGTATGCGTATTCATGAAAAATTGTGATTCAAAGAAGTGTAAGACTAATTTGGAGTGCAGAAAAAGTAAAATTTGAAGGAAACTGTGGTAACAATTAGCAAAGTTGACTAAATATGAAAGCTGTACCTCTAGCCGGTAGTATTTTCTGAGCCTCATGAGATCCTACCGGCTAGAAGTACAAGACAATAGAAATTTCATCGTGGCGATCTTTCCAACCAGTAGCACTACGACAAGGGCATTATAGTGGCCATACTATTCATAAATTTTGTTTACCTTTGCAAGCGCAGATCTTAGCGGCTACGGTGTTAAGCTCAAACTCTGCTGAACAAGAAACTGAAGATCGACGAGGGTGAAGGAAACAGCCACACAAAATTGAGCGAAATTTCCTTGATTTAAACTGAGCAATGTATTTTTCACGTGTAAAGCATGTTATAATGTTCATCTCTGGTTCAATCACTTCGCTTGACTGTTGGTAAATTGCGCATGGTGTTACTGAAATAGTCCGCCATATTGCAATAGCTAACAATTTCCGATAATCACCCGACTCGGAAACTCGTCACTAGTGCTCCTCGGGAGTACCTCTACCGTGGTTGTAGGATTCTCGAATTCTCGCACTTGTTAGCAGTAGAGTAGTTTTAGGTAAGTGTTCAGTAGGTGTTAGCAATTGCCTCATTATTTTGATTAAGGCAAGCAATAAAGAAAATAAATCCGAAAAACGTTCAAAAATTAATATCCCTATCTCCCCCAGGTAACAGACTCGTAAGCAAGTTTCTTCCCTCTTTATTTAGCTTGGAGGTAAAGGAAAAGCTGTAGTTTTATTACGCTTGATCATAAATTTAGAAGAGCCTGCTTAAAATTATTTCAAAAGATAGTTTTGAAGTGAACGTAAAGCGTCTGAAAACCGACAAAAAGATTATGTCGTTGTAGTAAAGTCATCATCACCAGTGGAAATTTCCCAAACTCGTTTTTAAGGCCTCTCTTCCCCTCCCTCTCTCCACTCTCCTCCCCCTCCTGCATCAACCCACTGAGCGAAGGTGAGCGGGGGAATGGGGGAAGGAAAGTCGAGAAACTTCCTTCAGCACATCAGGATCAAAATACGCTTCTAGGAAAAAGGCTGGAAAGTCTTAATAATTCACGTAATATAATGGGACATATCTGGACCCTTCTCTGTTTCTTGCAAGTCAGCTTTACCGAAAGGAGTTTATTGAGACAACGTGGACCAACGTAGGTGAGTTCGAGCGTTCAATATACGTTGCAACTAAGAAGAAAAGTCATACAAATTCATCTCCAGCCAACCAGATCAAGGAATTTTAGCTCAGATTTAATCACAAAATTTCAAAGCGATTAATATGACGATGATCCAACTTGAGATGTAAGATGGCAGAGATCTTTGATTATATTTATCTGCATTATATATCTAATATATCGTGGGGATAAGACCAACTACAAGAGAGAAGCAAACTTAACTCTCTGCTCAAACTCAAATGGAATTTAGGCGACACTCAACTCAAGCTCTAACTTTATCGTCCATGTCTTTCCTACGTCATGTTAAGGCAGTTGCAGAAGGTTAGATAAGAAGACGAAAATACAACGCATACGTTAATTATCAGTGAAGCATAAAACTTCCCTTTTAGCAAAACAGGAAATCAAGTACTTTGTATCACAACAAGATCAAAATGCATGGTTTGTGTCATGAAAACTTTTAACGTATACTTCGTTCGGGAGATGTCTTCTATCTTGCGATTTATAGCTTTAATTGACGCAATCAAATTTTCAGCGTCATGCATACTTTCACCGTTCTAAAGTGCTGCATTGTAATTACAGGTCGGATTGTAAACAAACTCTCTGGCGAACAGAAATATTTTACATAAATTCGAATTTGATTAATATAAACTGATAGATTTAGATACTTATGTGATTCATAGGCTAAGCTAGCGGTTAGAACTGAAAATCTGTTAGGACTGTTGAATATGAAATGGTCCAACAGTCTGCCTAAACACCGCTACAAAAGTATGCAGATCGAATTTTGTTTGATCGACCAAAATATTTTGTCGGGTCGGTTTTCTTTGGCTAAGTTCAGCGATCAAACCCAAATAACTTTGAACTAAATGGCGTCTGAACACAGTATTTTAGAAGCTTGTTCAACATTTATCAATAGGAGTTTAAACAGTAATTAAAAATCAATTTAAAATTATAAAAATTAAACGAACTTGATACGGACGCGATGCTGACGAGACATTAGCGGCGTCTAAACATATACCATCGGCATTGAACTTCCTTTTCAGCAATTCAGGATTTAACAAAGTAACCAAAGAAAACAAAACAGGAAGCACTTTACAGGCCATTTCATTGATTTTCTAGCAATGACGTAAACCTATTATGACTACAGCTTTCCTCTCTATTGATCAGACTTTCGAGCGGAAACTGCCAAAAAATTTTGTCAACGCTCGCTTGATGATATGGAACAAGCTAAATTTCAGGTTTTGTGAGAGGAGGGATGAGTAGTTAGTGCTGTTGTAGAATTTCATAGTTAGCTCCTTTTGGGGAATCATGCCATTAAAAAGCAAGTCAGGCATCAGTATTGTTAAGTTAGTCGTGTTGGTATTAGGTTGCAGAAACTTTCAATACTGCGGTTGCAATAGATTTAGATACTTCTGTGATTTATAGGCTAAGCTAGCGGATAGCACCGAAAATCTGTTAGAACTTTTGAATGAAATGGTCCAACAGTCTGCCTAAACACCGCTAGTAAAGTACGCAGATCGAATTTTATTTGATCGACCAAAATATTTTGTCGGGTCAGTTTTCTTTGGTTAAGTTCAGCGATCAAACCCAAATAATTTTGAACTAAATGGCGTCTGAAAACAATATTTTTAGAAGTTTGTTCAACATTTATCAACAAGAGTTTCAAACTCTTTAATCAAAAATCAATTTAAAATAATAAAAATTAAACGAACTTGATACGGAGGCGATGCTGACGTGACATTAGCGTCCAAACATTTACCACCGGCATTTAACTTCCTTTTCAGCAATTCAGGATTTAATAAAAAGGGAAATGATGATTTAACTAGAATATTTCTCTCGGTTGATATCTCGTTGAGTTCTCATTGCAGTCGCCGTCCTGATGTTACATTAGGTCTGTTATTGTGTCACGGAAAAAAATAACCAGCATGTTCCCTTATTTCAGTGACTGAAGAGGTTACTTGCTAACTACCTAGCTGTAGGTAGACTCCTCTCTTTCCAGTCGGATTGATAATCGAGACTTTCGTCGTTACGGTTTACAAAAGTCAAAGTGTTTTAGGTAAGTCTTGCGCATAATGTTAACTGAAATGCCTTGAACGTTAGAATTACACGAACTCCTGTCCACAGACTCTTTCAGTGGCAAACCTCTCAAAATTTAATTATAATGGGAGGGGAATAATTGAAAAGAAGAAATTATTAGCTAATTAGTTGGTTTGTTAAGGACACTAGCTAGAAGGCTCATTTTTATTTAATTGATTATTGATTAGTTTAATAATTTCAGAGTGACCCGAGATACGAACATAGTTACAATGTTCATCTGTTTGTTTATATTTCTATTGGTTTTGTAATCGGAGTTTAGCGTCCCTGTAATCAGTTATTCGTAAATTTTTGAGTAGTCTTGGTGAACTTTCGTCGTTTCATTTTTTAAAGCGGGACCGATAGGTGGGTTTCTTGGTAACTTTGTTTGTCTGGGTTTAGTTTTCCAGCATTGGGCGAAAGTATACAGACAGATAATTTGTTGTATTGCTGTATTTTCAATTGATTCGAGTTTTAAATGCCAAATTGTATCGGATGCAAGAGAACGCTCACCACTTAGATAGGAACGATGGGCTGTTAACGAGCCAGCAAATTCTTGTAATTTTTGTACCGAAACTTTTGTATTTTAACGTAGTTTGTATTGGTTTATTTGTATTGTTTATTGTCATTTTAATCTCGTTATTGGCGTTAAGCCCAGTTTTTTACACGCGATTTCTGATTACGTATTCGCAACATTTCATTAGATTGATAGAACTTCGCATGTTAAATTAATAATACATACACAGATCACTGGTCTACCCTCTCCAAAACTGTATCCTTCTTCTCGCGCGTCAGGCCACTTCGCCCGAAGTAAGGTGATCTTTCGGCCAATACCAATATCGAGCCCAGGGTCATTTTGGTTCTTTCTGTTAGCAGTATGGTCGCCAAATTATTTCAATTGGGAATTTTTTTTCTCGCAAAAAAGATATAGCGTCACCTTCTGAAGTTATTATGATAAAGATGAGGGATGAAAACATAGGTGAACGCAGTAAACGTGTTAATTCTTCACCGTATTTTCATAGAGGGCGAATGTCTTGTATCCTGATCACTAGTAAAATGATCATGTGAAATCAGGGAAATATCTCATTGCAGAAGAAAAATGATTCGATCGACCAGTATTTCCCAAATGAAACACAAACTAGACAAGTTTTTTGTGTGTTTGCTGTATTTTGGTCACCTAGGTTTGCCCATGTGGCTTTTATCTTTGTTTTAGCTCTGGATGCAGCTGAAGAAAAAGTTCTGTTATTTAGCTTGCAAGCCCCCTGTTTATGTTTTCCAAGAAAGGCAACATTGAATTAACCTAGAGCTTGTCAGCGGTATTCCATGACGAATTGCAATTGCATTAAAAGCCAAAAAAACGCGAAGGTTTCTTGGGTTGTTTCTCTATGACCCAAACATAAAAGCTTTTTTAATTCCTAATGAATGTGTTATGAATAAATGTTTTCTTTCAAAAGCTGATATAAGTGATGACCACTTCGAAGGACGATTTAGAAGAACATCTTGAATGTTCAATTTGCCTCGAAAAGTTTACGGAGCCAAAAGTGTTGACCTGTCAACACATCTTCTGCAAACAATGCCTGGAGGGACTAGTGACTCGAGTCCGCAGACGATACATTATCAGGTGTCCCGTATGCAGAGAAAAAAGTCAGGTATGAAACCAGAAATTATTTAGGGAAACGGACCTTTAATGGCCAATTGACGTTGTATCGTATTGCATAACAAAAAGCCAGGAAATCAGGTCCATATTGTGCAACAATATTAATATGCAAAACTTTAAAATTGAACAATCCCTTTTAGGCACTGCACACCAAGAAACTATAAAATGACGATCCGAATAAATAAGGGGGGAGGGGGGGTTAGTTTCATTGAGACCTCCGTCAATATGTGGGTGGTATTGAGATGCCTCATCTTTTTCTCCAAGATAATTTCAAAATGATTATGGCCCTCCTTTGTGGTTTGAAACATTTTTCCTTTACTGTTTGCGCACGATAGTTAATGTACACTTTTAAATAAGTAGTTATCTACTTTCTGCAGTAAGTTGATTTAGGAGAGTTTGACTACGTATCTCATTTTAATAACGTGCAATGGGTCTCAACAAGACGTTCCACAAATTTTTATCGAATATTTACAAAGCTATTGCACACAACAAGGTCTAAACGAAATCCTCAAGGGGCTTGCAGAAGAAGCGCACAATTCGCCTTTCAGCCTTTTAATAACAAAATATTATTCTCTTTTCCTTTCCATTCACTGACATGTCTAAATTAGTCTAGCTTCCTTTTCTCCTCAGGTACTCAATGGCGATGTCGCAAACCTTCCGTCCAACTACCTTATAAATCGTCTGCTGGATCTCAGACGCACAAATTCCAAGCCCTTTTGTAACAAACACGAGGACGAAATCCTCAAGCTCTTTTGCCTGAATTGCCAACAGTTGATTTGTCGAGACTGCGCTTTAATTGATCACCGCGACCACGAGTACAACTTCGCTAAAGATGTATTTCCCGCTGAGAAAGAAAAGATAGTAAATGCCATGCTGGAATCAAAAGAAAAAGTCCTTGCTTTACAAGGATCTATGGGTGCTTTTGAGGAGCAGAAAAAGAGTCTGGATCAAAACGCGCGAGAGGTCGACCAGAAAATTGACGACTTCTTTAATGAAGTAATTCAGTTCCTAAAAGGAGAAAAGCAACGCATGAAGGATGAACTTAAAGGAGCAGTAAAGACCCAGAAGGAAAAAATTCATGCAGAGTTGAGTTATTTCGAAGCTTCACTCGAGTATGCAAGCAGTAGACTTGAGGTTATAGAACACCTCCTGGCTAAAGTAAGCGACGAAGATGCCCTATTGGCAAAGAACGATATGCTAAAACAACTCAGTGATATTAACTGTGTTTTGCCCCATTTACAGCCAACCCCTCAGACGATATATGACTTTGGGGCCGATGACATGTTGGATGTGATTAATAAAATGGAAGCTATTTCTTTGCATTAAACAGTGGTACACATTTACGAGGGTGGTAAATGGTTTACACGTGTCGCGTGATTAAGGCCAAAGTCAATATGTAACCATTTTAAAGAAAGGCGAGCGTGATTCGTGAATTTATTAACCAGCGTGAGGCGTGATCATTGCCTCCTTAAATATATGCCACCCGTGAAATCCTCAAGAGGAAGACAGATTTTAGGTTTTCCTTTTTTATTCATGTGCGTGATGCGTGAATTTTTCTGAAAATCCGTGCATGAAATGGGATCAGCACAACCTTTTTGCCACCCTCATTTAAAGTATTTTATCTGTCAATTAACATAGTGTTTCATTTTCAACTATAAGGATCCAAATATCATCATGTTTTCCATTGCCGCTCGCATTAATTTTTTTATAAAAGCAATATTTCGGTGCCTAAAACAGCGGTGCACATAGTTGCCACATTCAATGTTATTTCATGTGAAACTATAAGAATCGAAATACCATTTATATGTACTTACTGTCTGTCAAATTAAATGTTTATCAAAGTAGTATTTACTGGCAGCTATTCCGTTGCTTTAAACAGCGGTACCTGTAGTTTATCACATTATAGACTGTCTCATTTCTAACTTTAAGGATTAAATTCCCTTTTATATATTATCAATCACATGTTATGCAAGCAATATTTAATGATATTTCTCGTGTGTGTTTAAATATGTTGTATCGCTGAATATGAAGAGTGTGCATCTGCGCGCTTCTAAGCAAACAAAGTTGGGTTTCAAGTTCTCGTAAATTGTATGGTATTAAACACGTTAAAAATAATCATAAGTAGACTACGATAAAAAAAGGAGGTGTTTTTTTTTAATGAGTTGCATTAATTATAGTTTTGAGCTCAGCCCTACATAGCACAGATATGCTTAGGACAAAGACGGAGTGTTTTCACCTAATCCCGTCAAGGGCGTAGCTAGAGGTGGGGGTCCAAGGGTGCCCATGATCCCCTTTTTGTAAGTTTTTTTTGTCACACCAAGTAAAACATGGCGTAGAGGTCGACATGACAGTTTGGTGATTACTCGCTGATTGACGAGGTGTAACCCACTTTTCAAAAAATGCTGCCCCTCGAATACAGTTTAGGCACTACTTTCTTAAAATAACAATACACTTCACTGTAAAATATGGAGTTATATATATCAGCATGAATCGTATATATTTCCATTTTTATCGCTGTCTTCGTTATTTTAAGGTATGACTATTTGTAAATATGAATACTAAATTGAATATACATTTTGTTTCAGAGGATACTATGTAATCCAGTGAGACAAAACACTAAAAATTGCTCTCGAAACAAATTTAGAGCCCAAAAAGCCAGACTGTGGAAAAAAGATTAGACATTTAAAAAAAAGGCTGCATCTCGTTTGGCTCTTTCTTTCTTTCACTCTCACGTCACAACTTTTGTTCAAACGGGACTACAAAGCTCGTGAAGGTATCGATCATGACCCTTTCCCAAGACTGATAAGAAACCTAGGAAGCGCTCCATGGCTGAGATGATGCTAAAAGTTATGTAGGGAAAGTTTGGTCAGCGCCAGCAGGCAATCCCTTGGGTATTCCGTAATTTGTGAATGCGCACAGCTCATGAGTGAGCGCAGCGGACTAGTGAGATGTCGAGTTGAACACAAGAGAAATGCTAACACCAAAGCCACTGAATACGTAACTTGCGATTTTTCTTTTAGTATATTGGTTTTCTTCCTCCTCTAGGAAAGTTTGAACCTCACTGCCTGTTAGCAATACAGATTTTTTAGTGTTTTAGCCGCCATAATTCGAGGAAGCTCCGACAAACAACTTGTATTGAGAATCGTAAAGGCTTTTCCGTTCATTCATCAACCTGACCGAGTGGCACCAAATGCGAGTGACGTGTCAGCAGCTGATTGGGTATATCAACACACGTGCAAAAATACGATATTTTTTCACGTGTGCTGTTATGGCTTTTCTCAGGGCCGGAAGTTTATGTGATAAAAGATAATTTGGTTTCATCAGCTGAGTTGATGATGTAAATTGGCCACCGTAAAAGTTCATAAAACTGACGTTTTGAGCGTTTACCCCTCGTCAGAGCGAATTGAAGAATATTAGATTGCTTGGAGTTAACTTCAAAAAGGGCATTAGTTTCAAATATTTCATTTGTTATTATTATTCATTTTAATATTGAAATTGTGAATATCGGGAATAATATTACTTTTGGCAAAAGTAACGCTTACCTGTGCGATACCATTCGACCCAAGTATAGATGAATTGTGATTGTCATTAAAGTTGCCTTCGTTACGTTGCAAGAAATGGAAATGCACTTTCGTTGTTGTTGTTTTATTTTTCTGCTTTCCATTCGGTACCACTCTTTAAACAAGGACCCTTAATAGTGAGAGGATGGGATACAATTTAGTTTGGCCACAGTTACAGGGGCGTAGCCAAGATACTTCAAATGGGGGGTAACACTAGGTCAAACATAGGGTACACACTAGATTTTTATTTCGACCTCCATGCCGTGTTTTACCTAATGCGATAAAAAAAAAGCTTACAAAGGGGAAGGGGGGGGAGGGCACGAACACCCCACGGCCCTTGGGTTATGTGTCTTTTGGGTTCTCGAGGGAGATGGGAAGGACAACCTTACAAGAAAAAGAAGGAAAGGATGGAAGGTGAAAGAAGTTTATAATCGAAATCTGTTTATAATCGAATTCCCTCTGAATTTTTTTTGGAATGGAAGGATGTCTGATATGCTTAATATCCATGTGACGTACAGCGAAACGAAGAAACTCACATCCTGTCAAAAAGGAATACGTTTTCTGGAATTTCGTGATTGATTCCAAAAAAAGACTTCTCTGTTACAGGCGAGGGGATCACATTCAAGAAACACGATCAAGATATGCTTAAAGATGGCATAAAACTTATTTCCACCCCCCCCCCCAAAAAAAAAGAAAAATATTTCGCAAACATCAATGAATTGTCACGTTCAGTTGAAAATTGTGAAATTTACTATTTTAAGGAAGGAAAGAAAGACCACTGATTTGTACATTGAGATCTTAATTGTGCAAGCTAATTTCTTCATTGTTTTTCGCTTTATTATCATTTTTTCGGAACTTATGAAATTGTGAACAGTTTGCCCATAATTTTTTAATTACCTGTGTGCAACTGATTTTCTTCGGATGTTAGCTTTATTTAAGGAAGGCTTCTGAAATTTTAGTGCCAGCTTAAAGGAGATGATTCAGTAAAGAAAAATAATAATACCAGAAAGATCATATTTAATTGGTTATTGATCATAAAATATGAAGAGATTTTGTAAATTAGGTGCATTTTATCCGCATAAGTATCTGAATCCTTTGCTTATTCCTTTTCAATTGCTAAATAAAATGTTGAAATCCCAGAACTCGATCAGAACATTCGCCTGGTTTCGCGAATAGTTTATGATGCTTAAACTGATGACAGGAATGACTTAAAAGTTTTTCATTTACCACTGCAGGTTAAAATATTTCAGATTTTACATTCAAACTCTGTTTAATTCATTCATTGCCCAAATTTTCTCATGGCATATGCACTTAGAAAAGTGAATCTCGATGATGGCTTTTTTTACATGTATTCAAAGCAACATTCATGAAAATTTTAATCCCAAAAAATTCGTTATTTGGGTAGTTCAGTCCTTTTTCTGCAACACTGTCAGCAAAGGTTTATTTTTGTTTCATTTGGTCTCTTTGTATGTTTTAATCTTTTGTTTTGATGTCACTCGTTTGAAGTAGAGCGTTCACAGCGATGAAGGATGTTTCCTTCATCAAGCGTTTGACTCAGAAAAAAGAACATTGCATTTGGATAAAAATTCATCATGATTTCGAGAGAGAAGGAATACGTTTTTCCCTTAAGAAATAAGTTGACATGTTCTGGGTTGAGCCTGTAGAGGTAAGGGCGAAGTTATATTTCAGGAGGCGAACTATAAAAGGTTTAGACGGTGAACTTGCAAATAAGTCAATTGCCCAAGGATTTTCAGGACACTTATGATAAAAAGCTAAACGAGAAGAAAACCACTACTTGCTACTCCACATACATAACTGCTATACATAACTAGCTCATACTTTTCGTGAGAGTAACAAACCTCTAAATGTATCAAAAACTTGAGACATTTCCTCTGCCATGATGAGGTACATTCGTACGTTCGGTAATTACAATGTCCTTCTTTGAATCATTTGCAACACTTTCTCAGACATAGGTAACCACATTATACGAACACTTTTAGGTACACGTTCCCTTCATATTTGTCCACAAAAAAAAATCCAAACACAAAATATCTAGATTTGGTCGAGCGTGAAAGCTTAGCTCCAGTAGGCTAATGCTAATACCCTCAGAACCAGCTTTGCCATCACAGGTGAGTGAAAGATTGCCCCCGTCCATATCGATTAATGACGTGACTTTGCAAATGGCTTTAAAGTGAAATTTCGCTATTTTAGAAGTTAAAACTGACTTCACCATGTAAAAGAGGAAAAAAACTCAAGGTAAAAACCTTGTATTAATGTCAGTATCTGAGAAACTCTGCACCTACCCCTTCCCCAACTCAACAACAGTCAACTGATAATAAATTAGGGTCAATGTTGGGTCAGGGGAGGAGTAGGTGCACAGTTGATCAGGCTGAGACAGATCCAAAATTTTTAAACGCGTGACTTGTTAATTACTGACAGAAATGCTAATCACTCATAAAAATAAGATTTTTAAAACTCGCCTGAAAGTATACATGAAAATTTTTTTTTCTTTTTCCTATATTATTAAGTTAAAAAACACTCCAAATATAGCCTCTAACTACAGATCGAATTACCGTAATTACTAACCCTCATCATCACTCAAGCACAAACGGGCCTATCTTGTACAACCTTTCCCTTCCCCCAAGTCTTCGTTTGGTGTTGCAAGCTGGAGAGTAAGAAGGACAACTTCAGATGCCTGCTAGAGAGCCTTTTTTCTGGCATAGGGAATATAATCATTTACACACAACAAGTTAATAAACTTTGAGGTAAATACATTTGCAACATTGTATTATACACTTAGTGAAGAGCGAAGTAGCTATACAGGGTCGGTCATCCGCTCAAGGCCAGTTTTAAACGGCCATTTTATAGTTTTGGGTCGAGAAAATTTATCAAATCCCTTTTATTTCTTTTATATCTTTAGATAATTTTGTGAGAGATTGATTTACTAGCTAGCTAGCTCAAACAGATGAGCCATAACAAATTATTTGTCTTCCCCAGTCAACTTCCGAACTTCTGCTTGGAATTAAGTAATT